GACTATTTGTACAAACGTCTACCGGCGCATAAACAGGCCCCTGAGTCTCGTATGCCATTGATGTTCCCCTCCATAATTATCACGTGGGCTGGTGCTTTGATGTACGGGTGGACGGCCGCGTATCGACTACACTGGATTACCGTTGATATTGGAGTATTTATCATGTTATTCGGTATGCAGCTAGGTGGCTTACCCAGTAAGTATTATCTGACGCTCTCACTGAACACCTTCATTCCTATTCCGAATTGCTAATTTTGGATGGTTCAGCGACCGCATATGTCATCGACACATATGGAGACCACACGAGTAGCGCCATGGCAGCACAGCAGTTTGTCAAGAGTTTAATGGCATTCCTATTCCCATTATTCGCCCCAAGCATGTATTCAAAACTTGGATACGGCTGGGGAAATAGCGTGTTGGCGTTGGCCGGCTTAGTATTGGCAGTTCCCCTCCCAATATTCCTGTGGAAATATGGAGCAAGGTTAAGAACCAAAGCTGCCTCAACCTACTAAGAGCGCCTATCTACCTTACCTCGACCTACGTAACTACCCATGTAAGGACCTTCGAATATCAGCCCTTTGAGCCTAACCTAGGATATTCCTCCACGATGCCCTTTCCCCTCCCCTGGCATTGATGATGTTACAGAATAGCACTACTTTGGAAGATTTCAGAACCCGCTTACTAGCAGTCCGCGTGCCCTTTAACTAGTCTAGATGAACCCAATGGGAGGTTTTTAAACTCAAGATATCCATATTACGGTGTAAATTATGCAAGTACTACTATCACCACAACCGCCCTGTTCTCGCTGCATGTTATCTTTCACACTCTGACGTCGACTCATCGTCAGCGTTTTGCCAATCCTCATAATGTCCAAAATATTCCGACGACTTAAGACTTAAGCATCGTAGACTAACATATTATCACACCAAGTAACACGTTTAGTAATTGTCATGGGTTATGATTACCTAGGTACCTACCTAATTAAAGAAACTCTACAGCATATCCAATTGCCATAATTATCTAACGCTGCAATTATCTACACAAAGACTTCATAGCTCCTGAGACCTTTCCCAACCTGGCCTAAAGCACATCCCCTAGATTAATGGCATAATTCTTCACGTCTATGAGACAGACCCATCGCTACATGCCTTCCAAGATAAAGGAGCATGATGTGCTGCCTATTATTTAGGACTGAATTAAAGAGAGGAAGGAAAGAGCATCTTTGGATGTTCAGGGACAGCCAAGTAAATAGATACATAGGTAGGTAGGTAGTAGTTTGGAATATTAATATGTCACTGTGAGTCTCTGGGTACTAGCCTATCTATTAGGCATGTAAATCATGTAGTGTACAGTTACCACACTGTGAGTCAATCAACTTCCCTGCTTCAGCTTGTCAAAGCCTCAAGTGACCTTACCTGCCTTTCCATGTCATCCTCAAGGTTCAGAGTTGAAAGAGCTGTTGGCTAGGTACCTAGGCACACCTACTGACAACTGAGTAGTGAAGAGATGTAACTCTCGACATCCAAGAGATTCCACACTACACAACAATAAAGAATGTCCTAAGGATAGAGGTCATTCCTTCCTCGAAAAGGATTGGGTAGAGCTGACTGGGAATATATTGAAAGTACCTAAGGTATCTACAGTTTGTTTTGCTCCTGCTCTTACCTCCTGAGTCAGGGCAACCTCAACAGCTCTACCTAAATCACCGCGGTCACCTTCCTCTTCTTATATTTCACAAGCTAATTGTCGAGGCAATGAAGGTACATGCCTGCAAGGTTGTGTGCCCTGCCCCTTCCACAAAAGCCATAGCCATTCTACCTGTTTACTATTTAATTCTGGTCTCCCCTTCACATTTCTTTCTCAAACTTTCCATCCCATACATTTCCTCCTAACCCTACTCATCCCACAACTTATAAAAACACCATCTCAACTCAATACCTCCCTTCATACCTGCCTGCCTTCATACCTAAGAGTGCCATGATAACCCCCTTATTTCCTGGTATGTATTTATAGAGAACTCTTTTCTCTCTCATATTACTTCTACTTACTAATTTCTACTTAAGGTCTTCGACCCCAACTACCCTTAACACCTATTCACCCATTTCTATCTTAAGCCGATACACATAAAACACCAACACTTCTTTTTCAGCCCACAAGCGCCTATCTCGAAATAAACCAAGAATCTAGATGGCCTGTGGCTACTTCAGTGGCATCCAACACAGCCGACTCATACACAAGCTATTACGTGGGGAGTGGAAATGAAAGCCCTACAACAGTACCTTCCAAAAGCCATCATTTAGCTCCAGTAATCTTCAACCTGCGAGAACGGCGTAAGCCACCCTCTAGGTCGACTGAGTTGAACCCCTAGCCCTTCGCCTAATTCCATTCCGTGCCTACAACCTATAACCATGGGAGCACAGAGTACATTTACTACTTATTACGGGAATGTCGCGTATGTTTATTCCTTGATCGTTGCGGCTCACCTTTCAATACAAAGACTCAACTAACAATTGTCTGTGCAACAGAATTAACCGCAAAAACAACTATTCTACTTATTATTAGTGTCTTCATATTGCTACACAACCCCTAGTAAAGCCCAATTGCCAGTCTTAGCTCACGTAGCTCAAAGAACAAAAAGTGAACTGCAATTGTTATTGAAGACTTCGCCTGGTTCGTGCCCATTCTCTACGTCTAATTCTTTAACTTCTTTAACTAATAAATATTCTACAGCTGTAACTTAAACTTACAGTACATACCTCCATCTTTAAGCCTCCAACAGCACCGGACAATCCACCCCACCGATTGGTGCTGCCAACGGTTCACCCCATCCAGCTGGAGAGCAATATTCGCAGGCCACGGTCCACCCTTTCTGGCTGGATGCGGTAGTTCATATGGCGTTATTTATTTCCCCTATTATAGAATATTCCCAAGATCGCATACGGGACGTCTTATCCAAGGCGGTTCCAGGGTGGATAGGGGCGGAACATTCACCCGTGGGCGGCTGTGGCAGCGATCTACTGACATATTGGGACCTATCTGACCCCGACAATTGGCATATTGGTTGTAGTCCCAATTGAACAAGTGCCAGTCTTTATTTTATCTATTTGACACTGTTCAGCGGAACTCAGCTTGCGACCTACATCAGCAACACTATACACTGCTGAACGGACAATCACTACTATTCCATTCAGACGTAGACAACCTATGCGTCAACTGTTGCTGGCACCTATCATATCCCACAGTGCTCATGTGACTGCAGCCAACATTATCTGCGCCGCTCCAACTACGGCCAACGGACCAGAGCCGGGCCGGCTGAAGCTAAAGCAGCCATCAATGAATCAATAAAACCCACAAATTGCCACCAGACATGCTGGCAGCAAGACCAAGCTTGGATTATTATCGTTGTCGAAGGGAAATATTCCTATTTTATTATTATTATTTTCACTAGACTGCCAAGGCAATTAATGGCTTGGGGAACCTGAACCATGGGCAAAAGACAGTAGTCACTGAGCTGTGAACTACTGGGGGAACTCATGTCTGATGACATGGCTGCTGGGGCCGTGCCTACCTATTATTTATCCCTTACCTTTGAAGGTCAAGGTATCTTCTATTTCACCTATCACCAGCCTTGCCGGATCGTCTTGAAAGTCTCGACCTAAAGAATTTTCATGATGAAAGAAATACGGCGATCGCTGCGCCATGTGCTATTCCTAGAAGCTATCGCAGAGGAGAAAGGGGCTGCTGCGCCCATCCATTTTATTTACTATTACCCCACACAAAAAAATCTTGAACTACTTCCACTACTACTATTGTTCGAGGAATCAGGGGATGACATAAAGCTCGCCAATCATGGATTGAGAAGCAAACATCATGATGCTACCAATCGCCGATACGAAACTGCCGGAGCAGACGCTTCAATTTCGTCACCCCAAACAGACGTATTTTTAAGCCTTGGCTCGCTCTCAAACTACCTACACAACCACCACAAGTATACTTTTGCTGGCATTTCCTGCGAGATACGCGTTCCACAGCGCTTCCACAAGTGGCCCTAAATGGGGTGATACACGTCGTTCGAGGTCTTGTATCATTATTCTAATCATTATCCCAAGCATCCCCATTCACCAAACGCCCTCTGATCTTCCAAGCTCTATCAACTCCCGTCTTAAACAGGCAACCAACCTAGGTGCTGATAGGTACAGCGCCAGTGACCGCGTGATGATGGTGAAAACGACCCCAGCCACGAAGAAGACGATGATGACTATGTTGACCCACACACATCTAGCTAGCTTTCTCCACAGATAGACTCAATCCTCAAGTCTTTCCTCATACATATCACTGCTTCTTGGAAGCAACAGATTGTCATTATGGAGAGAATAGCTAGGTTGTACTCCAGTCACGAAGGACTATCCGCGGCAATCACTACACTAAGCTGCTAGTACATACACTCTCCTCAACTATTTCTATAAAACTAATATTCTATGGTATCTCTAAGCTTGTCAGGAGGAGGTTGATGTCTTTGGTTGAGGTTGTATATAGAGTGGATGTCAGGGCATTGTATAGTATCGATGAGCCAGTAAGGCCTGCCCCATTTTCTTGTTAAGGAGTAGGAGGCCTTTGATATACATTATACCCCTATATCCTTACATATCCTTGACGAAACTTATATTCTGAGCGCAAGTAGTTAGACTCCGCATAACGTGCTACTTTTTGATATACATATTTACCTGTTTTGGGGAGTAGACAACGAGGTTCAATCGGGGCGCCAACATAACAAATACCGCTATAAATAATTTCATCCTAACTTCGTCTCTGTGCACCATAGATTTACGTCTGAGACTGCCGTATGCTGAATACATTCAATCCAACATTCCCCTTAACTAGGTACACTTTATATCGGTAAAAAGGACGTCTGTCGTACCTAGTAGATCAATATGCGACAGACAATTTTCTAAGAAAAAAAAGATTCTGATCCACTTGAAGAGGATCGTGAAAGGCAATGTTGCAACCTCCGGGAATCGAACCCGGGTCTCAAGCTAACAACCGAATAATGGAAGGCTTGAATGATAGCCATTACACTAAGATTGCTTCAAGATTGCATGTTTTCGTCGGCGCGTATTGCGGGATATAATATCGTGTAAACAAAAGTAACCAATCACAGTTGAGAGTCATATGGCGCTTGGCAGGGGGAAGAGGAATTTGGATTGGGTCTAGAACAACTTGGGATGGGGGTGGGTTTGGCTTGATGATGGGGCCGGGACGAGCTAGCAGATGGGAGTTTGCGAAATGTGGATTCGGCGTTATAGGAAGACTGCGATCTAGGTCATAGGAAAGATACTCGAGCAATGAAGTCTTTTCGTTTATACCTATTGTATTAACAGACTTCACGTGTAATCATGAAGTGTCCTCTAATCCACGCCATCATTTCCCTCCTGTGAGCTACTGTTATCATTACCAACATCCAGCTTCTCAAATTTCTTCCGCGCCTCTTCGTAGCCCTCATCTTTGCTCACGCCTTCAGTTTCCGCCTCAATCTTCCCCGATTGCTTAGCCATCTCTTTATCCTGTCTAGTAGCTTCCAACGCGGCCGGCTTGAGCGATCCGCCCTCGTTCACGTCTTCCTTCCGGTAGAGTGTAAAACAGACAACCAGGTAGGTCTTACCAGTCGACCGGTTTCGTAACGTGTATCTAAGGGTGTGTGAGCGTTTCGGCTTGGTCCTACATTCAGTGAAACGACGCAATGAGAAAGGGCGATTCTAACAAAACATAATGGGAGAATAATAATAAGTTGGTGGGTTGAGGGGTTTTCCTTACCGTAAACTCTGGCCGTCCCAATACTTCATGATCGGTAAAGTAAAGCCTGGTAAGCGTAGGCTAAACTCGCTGAAGTCTAAATACGGATTGAAAAAGTCTAAGCAGTAGGTTTTGCCGTACTGGAATAACCACTTGCTTTTGTTTGCTGGTTTCAAAGCCCACTTCATGCGGTCCTTGCCTATTGCGGGAGCGCCGAGAGTCTCTCGTTCTTTTAAGCCGTCCTCATCTCCGCCTTCCTCAACCCATAGCCCGCCCTTTTCAGGATCGACCTCTCCTGGACCAATATGGATAGAATTGAAGGACGAAAGGGCTGGCCCGTAAAGATATGGCTGGTCTGCGTATGCATCACCCTCGAGCCCAGGATCAATCCACCACTTCACAATGTTCATGGCGTAGCTAAAACCAGGTGGTAAGCGATCACGGATTGGATGATCGAAGTCGTTCCCGAACTGGAGATCTTCTCCAGATATCCCGTTTGTTGATTCCTCGTTAGTATCTTCGTTACTAACAGAAGAAGACGATGATCTGGACGGGTCGCTAGAAGCCGCCTTTGAATTAGGCGTACTTTCTGGTTTCTTGGGAGTAAAGCGAATCGCTATACTGTATTGGTCATTGTTGGAAGCATGCGGCTCTTGAGTGAAATAAGGAGACGTGGTAGGCGAATTCCTTGGCAGACCCCGGTAGTTTTGCACACGAACATTGAGATCAATGTTGACCAAGTTACTGCTAATCTTAATTGGCTCGTGTGAATTGACTGGAACTATGATGTGTCGGTCTAAATCGTAATCCGACCCGGCGGTTACTTGAATGATATATTTCTCAGCCATGCTGGAAACTGATTGTATCTCGATTATGATAAAATTTGAAACCACCACAACCCAACCTTGTATGGAATCTGACTGCCAGTATCCACTCAATGCGATATAGCAAGTATAATAAACGTGAAGTACTTTTATATGTGAAGTACTCAATAATCCTGATGTCACCAGACGGATTCGGCTTTTTCACAACTACGTGGAGATAGCCGGAATGATTAACAAAGTAGGTCTTGGAATAGGGGTAACTAAAGTTGTGAGCGAACCGAGAGTACAGTTGTTATGGACTTATGCTCGTTCTAATAACTGGAATCTACAAAATCATAGCAATGAAGCGGGAAAGAGTAGAACATTGTTGACATCGCAACGGTTAATACTTTTAGGAATTTAGATGATGGTGGATGACGTCGCCGAGGTAAACCAGGGTATGACGCACAGACCATAGTTTATTTAATGGGCCCCAGTCTGTCTGAGAAGTACCTAGGTAGATCTCAGGTTTAGATATAAAACCATGCACTTGTCATACTTGTGAAATGATACTATATATTCAGTCAAACACCATAAGGTGTGAATTACCTTCTGATAGTTACACATAACTTACCAAGATACTTATTACATAAATTAGATTAGAGAAATAGTATATTGGTAAATCCAGAATAGAATAGCTACCTACCTAAGTTAACCATAGGATATTACCAAGTTTACCTACCTAGGTAGATATTAGAACCGAGAATAGCCGATCCAGGAGTGCGTAACTGAGAATGAGAAGTTGTACGATGGGGAGCGATAGCTACCACTTCTGAGAATTGAATATGTACTATTGGTCTCTAGGATGCTATGTACTTGAGGATAATATATACGTTGATTGTAGCAACGAGACTACTTGGGTACGAGAAATTGATCAATGTCAACCCTTTCGAAGAAGCTAATGTGGCCAAAGCCAACCCAATATTGTGCCAGGCGATTGTAGGATAGCAGGAGGAGCTGCGACTCGATGTATAGATCTATAGATGATTTAGTAAAAATACTGTCATATTAGCGTTGAATATGTAGGCATCTTACCGTTTGAAAATCCCATATTAGCAATGTGGCCTCTACTTCTTACCACTCTAGCACCTTCGAACGGTGGCTCCTTAGCAATACCTAACAATCCCTCGTCACTTAGATCATCGGCAACGAAAGTATATTCGCCTCTCGGTACATTGACGTCGCCTGTTAGCTTGACCGCTTCTAGCCGACCACGGTAGACACGTTCGTGAAGAAAACGCTGCTCAAATTCCGAATCGGTCTCCTCTGGAAGCCGCTCTAAGGGCGCTTGCTCACCCTCGTCATCAGGCTGGTTGATTAACAAGAACTCGCATCCGTGTCCACTAAAATCACCAACCCATATTCCTCGCCAGGGTTTCTCGGCCGTCGGAGTATATAGGACGGGATCAAGAGTTGAGTAAGTTACTAGTTCCTCAGCAGCATGAACGCCAAGAGTAGGTGGTCCCATTTCCATCCACCGCCTAATGCGGAAGGTCTGGTCAGACGCTTCGGAACGATTGTGCGGCTGCCACATTGCCGATGTCGACCTCGTGTAATTTACTGACGTTGCAAGCGGGTGAACGCCTGTCGGCTGTCCCGTCACACGATGGCGGGCTGGGATTGCAGGAGGAGGCCAGACATAACCGTATGGGAATTCGCTTGTCATACGGCCAACTAGAGCGGACTTGCTAAGCGGCTTTGCTAGAAGGAAATTGCTGAATCGAGGGTCTGTCCCACTATGAATACGCATTGGCTGCTCCGAGAAGAAATGTCGCAGGGATAAAGATGGTGACTTCCCTCGAACAATGTTCTCAAAGCTGTCCACATCCAGCTGTAAGATAGGCTTGTCAAGGTGCAGCTTTACCGTGGGCTCGAAGTAATGGATGTGGACTGCCTGGTCAGCACCCCATGGTTCACTGCCATCCCGGTTACGTGTAGCAAGCATCTGATAACCTTCAATGCAACCCCGCCGCTCGTCGTAACGAATAATGATTATTTGGCCAGTCAACTCCCGATCACAAAACCATAGCTTATGCTTCGTTAGAAACCAGTATGGGTCGTGTGATATATATAGCTCGCGCCAGCTTTGACATGGGTATGGAGAGGAGATACGATTTCCTGGGAGATTCGATAATACGTGCCGTCTCCACTGCGTGTCGGAATTTGCATGATCTCGTAAAGCATGGCAGACGAGGGAAACGGTGGCCAGCTCTAAAGGAGCAAGCCAGGAAAATATCGCGTCAATTAATTCGGATGGTAGGCTGAGGATAGGACTTATGTCGGAATTGCTGCTCGAAGATGAAAGGGCAGGACTTAGGTCTGGTAGTAATAGTCAGCTAATGGATCTCGAAATTTGGGGTCCCAAACGAAAAGAGCGCGACGCCGCTATGGTTTTTAGGACTAGAGACGTGGGTTCACGAACCTCGGCTTGCCACGCTTGTACTACGTCGCTGTAGAGGAACATCAAGGTCCTCGTCTAAGTCGGGACCGAGCATCTTGCGGCGGTCCGTAGTACCGTACCGCAGATCATGATCGGGAACAGCTTTAACAATGAGGACATGCTCTTCAATTTCTGGATTTAATCCTCCGTAGGTGACAGCTGGATTGTGGATATTCACCGTATAAGTCGAGGTTGATCCTGTCGTTTCATTGTCTGCTGCTGTTGCAGCGTTGCTGGAGCTAGCCTCATCTGAGGAAGTAGTTGTAGACCTTGGGTGCCAGATACGCTCTTGGGACATTTTGACGACTCCCGCAGCGGAACCCAAACGCACAGGTGACAATTTAATTCGAAGGATCTAATTGACAAGGGTGTTCGCCACGTGGGTGGAGAGTTGAGGGGTTGAAAACCCAGACTCGAACCGTGGGTAGAGAAGATTTAGTCTATGAGATCTTGAATCGTGAATAATTCTAAGCACAACTGATTTCGTAGTCTTTTAGTTTTTTTTTCTTTCTTTTCTGTCCTTCAACGTCGGTAATATAAATTCCTAGTCGCACACAGCTGACGAGCATACGATGCTGTCTAAGAAATTAAGAATATGGGAGGAGATGTTTTGTTATCATAATGACGGTATTTTAAAGTATTTGAAGATTCAAGCCCAATGTAGATGGAGTAGCTCATCTGTTCACATGTGAAGTGAACGTGGTTCCACGGCGGCGGTTAATAGTAGAGTTTGGGGTTGGTGGAATCATCGAATTGATATCCTTGGCTGTCAAAAGTATCTACCAAGAAATTATTATTTAAAGGAAGCGGGAGACTTGGGAAGGAATGTTCCAATGAATTATTAACACAGGCTCTGTGTTGTATATATGAATGGATGTACTTATCCAGAGCTTGTATTAGAAGTTGTTAAGAATTTATCTGAAGGAGTCGGAACGGGACCAGTCAGTATATTGGGGGGATAATGAGGTAGATAATTAGTCGAGTTGTTGTTT